TTCCTGCTGCATTTCATGCTCTCGGTCTCTTGACCTAGATCTTGGTTGCGAAAGGTGAACGAATAAGCCTGTCACATTAAATGGGCCAGGATCTGCTAACTCTGGGAGCGCACTTAGTGCCTTCTCTCCTCAAAAACATCTCCGTGTGGAGTGCAAGGTGCCACTTCACTTTAATGTCAACCGTTTCAAAATGCAATTTCCCTTCATCGCTACTAATGCAATAACATAGTGAGGCTGTCACCCTCCTGTAATGCCTGTAGGAGGAAGGAGGCAGGGAGGAGGATAACACAGTGTACACAAGCAGAGAACAGGCAGAAGGACCTCCTACCTGGAAGTCTTGCCCTTTGACGATATATCTTTGTTTCTCACCGGGAACAAAACTCCGGAAGTTCACTTGGAGTTGGAGTATTTTTAGTGCTCATTTGTGACAGAATAAAAACAAAGCTCCTTCAATGCCAAGTCTTTCCACACAATATGTGCTACTGATAGATATCCTCTTTCCGTGCTTCAAATGTGAGTTTATTTGAGATTTGTGTTATCAAGGCTGCTTCTAAAAATGCCATTTCTGGATGAGAACCCCCACACTCTTTCTTCTTCTTAAAAAGTTGGACACGGCTCATGGGTGAATAGGGAGGGAAATGTACTGGCACCAGAGAGGGGGCAGACTGCGTGGCTGTGGGGACAAGAAGGGCAGGACTCAGCAAGGCCAGCCCTGACTGGGTTAAATTGCTTTTATCTCGCTCCTTGAGACCATGAGCCACGGAAGATAATGGGATTGAAGGAATGAAATAGCAGAAGTGGAGTTGGGGAGAGGAGAGACAGATGGTGAGGGTTGACATCTAAGTTTGTGTGGTGGAGTGCTGCCGACCGATGGTGCTTGTGGAGGATGGGTCTGTCCAAGCTGCACCAGGCCACTTGACCAGAGGCATTTTATCCCCTAATGTAAGCATTACCAGGGCGACTTGCAACCCATGACTGCTTTCCCCACTGGCCTTCCCTCCTGCACCCACAGAGGGAGCAGCACAGGCTCCTGGAAGAGATGGCATGGTCCATGCCAATAGATACTGCAGAGAGAACGTTGGAAAGGTGCGTGGGGGAACAGGCTTTGGGAGAATCAGTATGGTTGTTGTGCTTGAGGACCTGACCTGTAGATTGGTTTAGTTCAATGTTAAGCAAAGGATATATCAATAGCCCAGTTATAAATTAACATATTGCTGCCATCTTCCCCTCCCGAATGGCAGAGAGGAGATGTCAAACAAATTCACTGTAGGCAAGTTGTGTTGCGCTCCGCATATGGAGTCCAAATATTCCTGTCAGATTTCTTAAAATTTATTTTCTACCTAGTAATTCAGAGTGCAATTTGATGTCTCTATCTTTTCATGAGCTATATCCGTTCTGAAGAGAGATTCTGCCATAGGATGAGCATCTGATTTACTGTCTGTCAGCAGAGACAGGTTAAGAAAAAAATTATAAAATCAAATTACTTTTCTTCCCCAAGGTTAAATGTAAAGTTCCTCCTTCCTTCTTATCCTCATTTTTTCTTTACAACACAAAAAAAGATATTCACGCAGACAGAGTTCTTAACCACTTCTGGCATGGTCTTGGTTAATGAAAGTGCCCTGAAGCCATGAAGACTTGTAGGATAAGCAAAGAGCTATTTTTACATGCATCTGTCAATAAAAATAATTTTAAAAATACAGCATTTCTGGAGAAGAAAAGTTTTGTCTTATACTGACATGGTAGCAGCCTGTCTGCAATAAGAAGTACTAGATTAGAAGGAAATGGAAAGTTTAATTAAGCACTGAAGTCAGTATGAAACCAAGAGTTGTGGCAGTTCTTACAGCAGAAAAGTCAGTATGAAACCAAGAGTTGTGGCAGTTCTTACAGCAGAATTTGTAATTTTTGAAATATTTATGCAAGTCTGCAGCTCTGTTTCTTCCCTTTTAAGTGTGGCAGCTGTATTTCAAAGAACTGGCTACGGCAAACTCGGCAAAAGATGTAAACCTAAAATTCTGGCAAGCAGAGAGGGCGTATATCCCTTTTTGTAGCAGAAACAAAGTACTACCTGAGCTGACCACAGCATTACTGCTGGGAATCTCCCTCTCAGAGCCTAACGAACTCATAGACCTCAGTGGAAGTGATGAGCTCGTGGAATTTCTCCAAACCAGTCCCTTTTATGTGTGGTGCAAATGATTCAGGGAATGAGTTGTCAGAACTAATTGCATTGCTGGTCGGGCAGCCTCTGCTGGTGCTAAAATACTCTGGCAATGCAAGTAGTTTAGATGTCTAGACAGATAAGCTAGGGGGAGTGGTTGAAGAGCAGGGAGCGCTGTTTTTGTGAAGCTGCCTGTTCCAGGTGGAAGTGGAGGTCCAAAATAATTTCTGCCATGGATATGAAATATACTGAAAGGACAGTGATTTATCTGAACTTAACAGGAAGGGAGAAAAAATGGCAACAGCTGAGTTTGGAAAGAAGATAGGCAGTAGAGGAGGTTGTCCATGACAAATCGTCATGGTAGGAAGTCTTGAATAGGTATTGCTGAAATGCAGCCATGGGGGTCTGGTTCCATTTACTTGGCCCTCTCATTTCCCAGGGAGAGGAGGTGGGAAGGGGGAAAATGTTTATGCTTAGTTTCATGTCCCTGTAGGCATTGCCATGGTGAGGTCTGCGAGATTCTCCCCGGCTCTGTTCAGCTGTCTCTGCGTGCTGCTGAGTGTGTCTTTCTTCCTTTGTGTAGTTTTCTGCCGTGTGTATATAACAGAGCACTCCTATGTCAGTGTGAAGGCTCAAGTATCTGCTTCAGCTCAGGAGATACTGAAGATTGTAGCAGAAAAGATCCAGTACCCGGAGGAGGAGTTGGCGCTGGTGACAGTCACGTTTTCTGGCGGTAAATAACTTCCCTTCATCTGATTACTTACCTTTTAGTGCATCACCTAAGGGAGGGCTGACATTTTCTGGTGCAAGGATACAGCTGTTCCTGCGCGGGCCCACAGCTGGATGACCACGGGAACAATGAGGAGCTGCTTCCCAGAGAGTCGTTTCCATGGCAACAGCTAATTCTTGGGTACCATCGGATACGGCATCTCCTTGCTGGGAATGGAGTGCAAAGAACTCTGTCTCCAGCAGTACTGCAAGATTTTATTTTTTCCCCTCAGATAAATCTATTTCTGCATTTAAATTAATTTGGAAGGCGATGAGGCATAGTTTGCTTTAAAAATATAAAAGGGGATAACAAATACTGTATGCGTGGCTGTTTCGTTATTTATGGCATGGGTAATGAATATTCTCCAGCAGAAAGGAGGGAGACATGTATTTGCACAGTTGAGATACCGAGAGCAATCTAAGCAATATTTTGTAAGCAGTCTTGCTTACAACTGACATTTTTTCCTTATTATTTTAGTGTTTCTCATTGAACAGAAAGGCTTATTGTCTTTTTTAAGGAAGACCAGACTGATCACTAGGGACCAGCCAAACCCCCAAGATTTGCTTTGGTGTCTGTCAGGTCTCAAGGTCTTCAGTCAGATTGTTTTGCTTGTTGTGGTGCCTTTTGGCTCTTAGGGAATATAAACGAAGCAATTTAACTAGGTACATAGAAATGCTAAGCTGCATCTACAAAAAAGGGTCTAAGAGTTTAGAACATCATCTTGGCCATATTCTCAGATAACATTATTTGGTGTCGATCCTCTGGGACAAAGGATGCACCCTAGAAGATATGGCACTCATTCTTACTTCTTTGTCAGGCTATTTAAATGAAATATAGACAAATGCTGGCTTGTTCTGTTCATTTATTTGATTCAGAAGTGGAAGGTCACATTTTTCTCCCCCACACCGAGCTCAGTTAAACAACCATTTTTTTGCAGGGCACCGATGTGGGTGGCAGGGAGATGGTGCCCTGCCCCGGCTGTCGAGAGCCTGGGCGTGGAGCGGCCACACGGGAGCATTGCACGTAGGCGTCCTGGCCAGCCGGGTTACCTCATTTGCAGGCACACTTCTTTTACCCTTGTGAGTGCCCAAACTTGCCTCCAGTGCATTTTGCAGCACTGCAAAATCACTGTGTTGCTCTTGTTTTTCAGGTCTTGTGCTCCTGTTCAAGAGCAGGGCAAGTTTTGCTCTGATGGCAATAAATCTGGTGCTAACTGCCTACTTAGCTAAATAAAACCAACAATTCATAAATAATGAAACACACTATTATCTCTAGACCACATTGGTTCCTGAGAAAGCCACAGAATAGAAGAGGTTGCCACTTGGCTGTTCAATCAGAAACAATAATTAAAATGTAGGTACAATAGGACTGTCATTTGTACATGACCATTGTAACCTCCAAAATGTCATTTAGTCACATTGCCTGAATTAATCGGAGATACCACAGTTTCAGTATCCTTGTTCTTATGCATTGGCACTCATCTGCTGTGAGCAATAAACACTAGCCTGCCACGCTTTCTTTTTTCTTTGTTTTTTTTGCTATTTGCATGACTCAGAACTGTCATCTGCCGTCCACTTGGAGGGCAGCAGTATGAGCATTGGAGAACGTGTTTTTATTGTACTCCTGAAATGAACAAGCACACTCTTTTTATTCAAAATTACCTTGAAAAAACATGGCAGTGTTTGGTTATTTGGCAGTGATAGGTTAACGGTTGGACTCGATGATCTTAAGGGTCTTTTCCAACCTTGACGATTCTACGATTCTATGTATCGGGTGTCAGTGTGAGCATGGATAAGAGGGAAAAAAGACAGTGTGAAATGATGTTTGCTCTCAGACTCTTCCTGGTCCTACGCCTCCCACGTGGGCAATGAAAAGTCCAAGGTAGCTCTCAACATGCTTGTAGTGCTTTTGGGTCTACATTAATACAGTCACTGTAATCAAATCTCATGTGTCAGGTCTCTAGAAGATTACTTGGAGCCCGCAGGAAGAGACAGTTTTCCCAGGGCAGTTTTTTAGCTGTGTTCTAGGTTTTGCTTTATTTTTCCCCCCACCTTTCTCTGGTGCACCCAAGAATGCCCAGAGCTGAACCAGTTCTCTGGAGCGGAGAAAAAAAAAAAGGTTCCTTTGTCTTTGCTACCAGTTTGGTGTGTCCTGTTCTTTTACTTAAATGTTTCCTAAATGAATTACTCTAGGTCTAGAGGAATTTCTGTATATACCGTACTATCAAGGACTCTTCAGCTCTGCTCCATGGTGTGAATTTCATGGTATTGGGAAACTTTGAACTTCTTTTCCTGTTGAATGGCCGTGGCTACTGACGACATCTCCACCCGTGCTCTTGTCTGCCAGTGACACGCAACAGCTCAGTCTCTGGAGGCTGAGACACTTCACTGTAAATGTAGTGACTTTTGTTAGAGCAGATACACTGGATTGAAATGAAATGTTCTGCAATGCCTAGGAGGTTAGACCAGACGGTTCAAGGGTTTCTTTCTGTTCTGTCCGATGTGAAGTCCAAGTTGAAAGCAGATGGTCTAGTCCAGCGTCAGAGACATCTCACCTTTATTGTTCCTGAATAGTGTGGAGATGGTGATCCCATATACATAGGGACTGGGTTTGATGCTTAGTTAAATTCTAAATTGATGTGGCTTTACAAATACATTTGTAATGTTTTTCTCATATTTATACACAGCTTTTACTCCTTTTCTGAAGCTTCACTGTTCTGTTTTCTGTTTTTACAGAAAAACATGAACTACAACCAAATGACTTGGCTATCTCAAAATCTTTTGAGTCATCTAGTCGTATGTTTGTCTACCGAAAAGATCTGACGGATTCTTTGGTAAGGATATGTATTGTATACTTCCCATTTTTTATTTGGCTGACTCCAGATCAAGAACTTACTGTTCCTCTCAGAGGGCTTTTTCAATACAGAATTTATTTTTTGCTTCCTCAGTAAAGCTTACTGAGCTGCTCTATACCTGAAAAAAATACCTTGCATTAACAGCAGTTATTTGACTGAACAGTAATGGAATTTGTTCATCAATTTCAAATAGACCAAAGCTTCTGTACAGCGTAAATCTTTCAATCTACATCAGCCTAGAAAAGCTGACTTGTGCATGTACAGGACTGGATGGGATGAGGATTATTCAGGGCCTGTGTGACTTCCCTGCCCCCCCGCCCCTTGTGCCTCCAACATTTAAAGTGGCTGGTACCTAATCATACAAGGTGGTGGACAAACTCCATGAAATTACTACATGTAGAAATAGATGGCGTGTGAATTCTGCCAAAATTACTGGGCATCAGTGTGACCCCAGTGTTGTGGCAGCCACATGATCAGTCTGTGGCTGGCGTATATCGCTGGTGGTATCTCCTCTTTTCTTCCTTCTGTCTGTCTGTCTCTCCATCCTCTCGCTGGTGCTGGGGAGGGGAGCAGGTCGAAGGGCAGCAGGTCTTTCATTCCCTCTGTCCTCAGAAACCAGGATTGCAAATTCTCTCTCCCCCCGTGATTTCCCAAAACCTCAGTGAGGTAGGAACAGTCAGGCACTCAAAAAATTAATCTTTCAATAGTTTTCTGCTAATTATGCAGAAGTTTCAAGGAAAGTGCAGGGACGGTGTTGCAACTGACTTTTACGTGTTGTCAGTACCGCTAGGATCTGTGCATTCATCCTAGGGATGAGAAATGTCTATTTACATTTCGTTGGATCAATGTGCCCCGAAGAGCTGACATGCCACTATCATTGTAATCTGTCATCCCCATTATCTCTGGCGTTCTAGCCACCTCTAAAAATGCGAATATTAAGGGAAGGTTTCCAGTGCAGACAGGTGACAGCCAATCTAGTTTCATTAGTTACATAATAAAAATTGCAAAACTTGCTGTAACTGTCAGAAATATAGGACCAAAGTAATGGCTTAACAGATAAGAATAATCTTTCATCTTGGCAGATGGTTCATGTGCCAAGTTTCAGCCTGATGAGGTAAAAAAAACCCAAAAGAAATGCAAGCCTTTGAAAATCTGAGCTAATAATGGAAATGTCAAATGGCCCTTAACACTAGCAGTAACAGTGCACTCCACAGTAATATGCTAAGTAACTTTTATGAATCAGGACCCACAGTGTTTTACTGTTTGTTGGTGACTGCATTTGGAGTAAATTAATCATAAAATGGATGGATTGTGGATTGGTGGGCAAGTTGTGTGTATTTATTCTAAATCTGGTGTGTCTGCAGAATGATTCCTTTATCTTATAATACAAAAATTTCCCGGTGTATTAATTCATATTTTATTTTCTGATGGCTTCAGGGATTTTATTTTCATTATGCTGTCTGCGTGGTCAGTGTTTTATACTCAAGGTTTGGAGAAAGAAAGACAGAGGGAGAGGCCTAATCCAGTAGGAAGCCATTGATCCTATTGACCCATTTCCTTTTTCAAGCTATTTATTAAAAAGACTATAACTCCTTGATTTGGATTAGTGGGGGGGAAAAACCCTCAGAGTGCACTTAGGTAAGATTACTTACTCAGCTCTGTTTTGTACCTTGGTCCAGTAGCTGTTTCATTGCAGAACTTTTGGCATTTGCTCAGGATGTTTTTGTTCTTGGCTGTTGATTTAGAACCCATTTGCTGAAAATGAGGAATTGCAACAAAGGTCTGTGAGAATTTTGGGAATCAACACCTGGGATCTTGCCTTAGAACTAACAAACTTTGACTGGAGTCTCTTCAATGCAATTCATGAGGTAAGAAGCACCATGTCCACTTCCAGGTATATTACTCTTATGCAGCATTGAGCCGTTATGATTTCCTGACATTGCACCAACATTTTGGAGCATCAGTATTACTTGGTGCTCAGTTCACCATCATGACAGTATGATTTGATAGCTCTCAGTAATGGTGGCATTGAATCCGGTCCAAGAGATGTGTTGCAATCCTTGATACTGAAAAAATTGTTAAAGGTTTGTAACTTCCCTTTGCTAGGGCATCTCATATGTTCCCTGTATACCTGGTGGGTTTTATTGAGATTTGCCTCAAGAGAGTAAAAGAGCATGATTATTCTCTAAAAACTGGCTGTGTGAATATGTTATATATGCAGATTGTCCTCTGCACTCGATAATGTTCCAGTAAATGTTGGACTCCACAAATAGGTGTCCTTGATATCACGTTAACCACAACAGAATTCACAATTTCAGCAGTTTAGATGGTCACATTACTGTTCTTGTTAGGCTTCAGTGAGATAAAAAATACTGGGCAGGCTTTATAAAATGGGATAATGGCCCACTTCAGTGCCCATTGGGTTGTTTCAATGACTTTCATAGGTGCTGGTGTGAGCTGCTGAGTAAAATACACAGTTAACAGTACAAAATGTCACTTGAAAATATCATCCACTGAAAAGCTTGATGACTTTCTGAGAAAATGAATGGGAAATTCCCTTGCTTCTCATCAGATGCTTTCCTTGATCTTTCACTTCAGGTTCTTTTATTCAGGTTAGACATTTTAAATCTAGAGCTGGTGAAGTGGGTTTTCTTTTTTGCACAGAAATCAATACCTACACCTCTGTTCTTGAAAACTTGGCTATTTGTAGGAAGAAGTTTGAATGGAAATTTTTCTGATTCTGCAATGGTCTGATATGGTTGCTTTTTCATACTGGAACAGAAGTGATGAAATACAGAAAGAGATAGTTATTGTTTATGTCCTATAGCTGGCTGTAGCCAGAAGTGGAACTGCAGGAAATCTCACAAGAAAAGCACATCTTGCAGGACTTCCAGTCCACCTGCCTACTGTAATAAGCCTCTAGACTCTGCTAAGCCAAATTTGGACCCTGAATCATTTGTTATTGGCTCATAGATAATGAAAAAATAACCATCTGTAACCAAGTACTGTTTCAAAAACATATTTCTAAATAATTTATAATTCATTTACATTTAAATTGTTTTTATATCCCTAATAATGTTGTCAATGTCTTCCAGCAAGAGCTGATATACTTCACGTTCAGCAGACAGGGCAGTGCTGAAAACACTGAGAATCTCAGCCTTCTGCTTCAAAGGTGCAACGAGGTCCAGCTTTGGGTTGCCACTGAGATACTCCTCTGCAGCCAGCTCTGCAAACGAGTACAGCTAGTCAAAAAGTTCATCAAGATTGCTGCCCAGTAAGTTACTAAAGTTATTAAAAAAGTCCTTGAATTCACATGCTTTATTTGGTGGGAAAGGAGAAGTAGGTGCAAGAGCAAAGAAAGAAAACTAATTTGTCATCCCATGTTTTACCAGTGTAGTAAGCATACCTAGATAAACAGTCCGTAAATAACAACAGCAAACACTGGCCAAAACCAGACATGGTGGAGTATATGCTGCTCAGATCTTCCCTAGCAGCTTAGCTGCTGTATCTGCAGCGTTAACTGCAAAATCCCTGATGGTGCAGAGGTGCCACCTTTCTTAGCACAGATAACCTGAGGACTGTATTACAAAACTGTTTGAGCAGCAACACAGTTATTCACCAAAGACTACACAGAAATCAAAAAACTGTTATAATCTTGAAAGTCCTCCCTCTAGAGGGGAAACTGGCTGCAGTAAGCTGTTGCCCCATGTTGTCCTCTCTGGAGTACTCTTTATTTATTGCAGGGGGAGTTCTTCATTAATTAGATTTGATGGTCTATTCTTGCACTATTACTAAATAACGCTGGCATTTATTCCATGCCTTGGAACAGAATACAAATATATACTGTACACAGAGAGTTCTTTTCTCTGTAATCACTCTGATTTTATAACCAAGGGAATGGAGCAATTTAAATATATGCGACCATTCTCCTCGCCTGTCTTTCCACTTGTTGGTCTTCTGCAATATTTGAATATGCATGTTAATGGAAAATGTATAATTTGTTCCCTTCATCGACTGGGTTGATTTAATTTGCAAGGCACTTACATAGAAAGGACTGTTCTCTGCTGAAGTAGTGCTTTTGGTGAAATGAATTCTTCTAATTTAATCTAGTGTAACTCATAAATGTGATTTGATTTAGTTTGCAAGTTGTATGGTAACCAGTAATACGTTCATTTTCTGCCTTATCAATGGCCAAGTTTGGTCCAGTTACGTCAGAAACGGTTGGTTCTGTGTGCCTTGCTTGCACCACAGTAGCATTAATTTGCATTCCAAGAGAAGTTCCATGTCTGTCCCACATGAATAGGGATATATTTGTCACCAGACTAAAATGTTGCTCTATTTGAATTAATTCCATCTCCGTTAAGTGAAAAGCCAAAGTTGTGGAGACTAAATACAGTTGTCAGTAAACAATAGACAGGCTCTCCCAGTGCGTTGCAGAAGCGCCCATCATTGTAGTCTGTAGATTGTGAAATCATGGATACACAAATAAGTGATGGTGTCATTTGCTCGGGATCTTTTTTTAATCAGAAAAGCAGCTTTCTAAAAGAAGACATTATGATCTCTCATCAATTCTGGAAGAGTTGATGAAAGAGGAACAATTAGGGTGGAGGGATGGTGTGCTAAGCACGGGACTCTCATCATGAGGCACAAGCCAAGCAGCGATTTTGTTTATGACTAAGGCAGCAAGGTAGGGAGCTGCTCGCAGCTCTGGCTGCTCCCTGTTCTCTGCTCCCAGATTTGGCCAGGAATCTGTGTCTCTGACTTTCAGCTTGTCAGGAAGGCACCAGGACTAAGATCTCATGTCCAGCGTTTGTGTGCTACACTGTTGAGGAACACGCCAAGAAGATGGAATGCTTTTACACAGTGTGCCAATACATAAAGGAGAGACAGAGTTTTTGAAACATGATTACCTACGCTTCTGTTGATGAGCTAGTCTAAAATAGAAAACAAGTGATTTGATAGAGAAAATGAATTAGCATGTTGTTAGAAATTAACATCCTGAGGAGTTACAGAAACAGGTCAACGTAGGGTTAGAATAAATGGATTACAATAGCAGCCTTCTTGCTTCCCAACCAACAGTGGCTGCCTGTAAGAGATGTACCTTCTCGCTACAGTTCTTTGTGAGAAATGGGCGCATCCAATAGACAGTTTATCTGAGCTGTGCTGGACACCATTCTTGTTTTGGAATGAATTACCTTTGGGAGCTGCCTGACTTCAATGATAAAAGGAGTCTAAACAACAAAGTTAGGATTAACTTTAAGACAGCTGAAGTGAGAAATATGCCATCTCAAGACAGCACACAGTGATGAGTGCAAGCTTTATAAAACGTGTAACGAGTGCTGGTGCGTTTCCAGTCTAAGGCCTTGGCACATACTTTTCCCTGATGATAAACCCCAGTGAAGGCAGTGGATTCACTTGTACTTAAAATTAGCTTAAAGAAGGATTCTCTCTCTCGCTTTCACACATACACGCACACGTATGTTTATAGTGGTCTTCAAGAATCTGGAAGAGACAGTGGAATCTTTTTGTTTGAAAAGGACTTGATAGTTCAGGATTTCAAGTTTCCTAATGGACTAGAAATAAGGAGGGTCTGATCATATGTAGTAACATGTGAAAGAATAGGTATCAAGCAAATTCCATAGGGACCTGCATTGGAACCAGTGCTAACTGCAACTAATTTATAGGGATATGTAAATTGAACATTAATCAGATTTTCAGACTATAAAAATGATGACGGATTGCAAATGCATTGGAGGATAGAAAAAAAAAGAATGATCTAAGGAGTCTGGTGGCATGTGCAAACAACAGTAGGATAAGATTTAATTTAGATAGATGCAAAGTAATTCAGCTAGGGAATGCTAATACTGAGCTGAAGAAATAAACGCATGATTGTAAAGAACAGTACTGTGACAAAGGTCCTTGGGTGATAATAGATGACAAATTAAAGGCAAGGACAAAGTGTGATGCTGTTCCAAATAAATGATTTGATATTTATTTTATACTTGCATAGGAGAAAGGTGTAAGAACTTAGAGGCAAAGCAGTAATTATGTTTCTTCTTCCCTCCCCACTGTCTCACTACATCTGCTTGATAAGAAGGAAATGCATGAGAGAAAAGTTAAAATAAATTACAAAGAATTCAATGAAGGATAATAACGATATGGAAAACTAGATTGCAGGCCATGACCACAAAGAGAAATTGAAGGAACCAGTGATGTACAATTTACAGAAAAGATGAAAAAGGGGATGAAAATATTTATAATATAACAGAATAGAGGTCAAGGAATTTTTCTATATGGTAAAGGACAGCTGAGAGTAACTTGAACATTGAAAAGGGAAAATTACTTTTGACAGCAAAGGGAGAAAAAATAACCTGCCAACAACAGGGTTGATGAGACAGCGGTACGTTTGCTAAAAAACTTCTTAGAGACCGCATCACCTAGACTGCAGGTGGTCATGAGAGGATATTTAATGAGTTCATTATGTGGAAGATGACTGTATGTTAGTGCTGAGGGTTGAAATGGGACTCAGTAACCTAGGATACCTGTGCGTACCATTTATCTCTGATTCTGAGTACAAAAAAAATCAGAATACAGCGTTCATATTTTTATTCCACAGCTGTAAAGCCCAAAGAAATCTGAATTCATTCTTTGCTATTGTTATGGGTCTCAACACTGCATCTGTCAGCCGGCTGTCTCAGACCTGGGAGGTAAGACACATCTTTGTATCTTTTAGACCCTGTCAAAACCATTTCTCGCAAAGGTTGTATACTGGTGAATTACCTCTTCTTCCTAATTATTAGTTTTTCATGCAGAAATCAAACAAGGAGCGAGTGTCGGTAGAAAAACTTCTCTGTGACCTGAAACCTTATTCAAATAAAAGTAAATGTGTCCTTCCAGAACTTCTAGACAAGAACAAAGCAAGGAGATCTTAAAAAAAACCCAACATCAAAAAAACAAAAAACAAAAGTCAGGTAAATTATCCTGGCAGTGGATGTCAGAACAGAAAGTCTTACAAAGGTGGCTCCAAACAAGCAATACCTTATTATGGAATAATTTCATGTAAAAAAAAAAAAAACAAAGTAGAAATAAACCCTCTTTAATTCTCCTTTATCAGCTCTTTTGCAGCTGCTCATCTTGAAGAACAAAGTTAGGAAATGGGCCATGAATAAGGAGCATACTGGAGAACAGAGGTTATCTGCTAAAGAAGCTACCGGTTGCTAGAGAGAGCATGGGATGTTTAGAGGAGAGTCCCACTGGGATCTGTGTCTATATTGTGGATTTTTTTTTCCATCCAAGTAAATTATTGAGTGGTAGTATCTGCAAGCTTACTATATCAGCTGATGAACCAAAAATTGGGGAAGGAGTAATTTAGTGTGATGGGGTGAAGCTTCATGCCTCCCCCATGCCCCCAACACCCCAAGGGAGCACTGCTCAAAAAATGTCAGTCGGTAATACAAAGTGACCGAGAACGGCTGTGATTTCCTGCCTTGGAGATACTCTTGAGCATCAACAGCTGAAACCAAACGGCCATCAGAGACTTACAAAACTATCTGACACTGTCCAGAGCAAAGTCTTCCCCCTCAGCTGAAAGCACACATATGGAAACATCACTGCCTATGTCAGTGGCTTCGGCACACAGAGAAACAAGGGCAGTGACTGCTGCTGTGGGGAGACGTTTATAGGGACTTGGATAGGCAAGGAGGAGCTATCTTTAAATAACAGGTAAAGCAAGAATTGTAGAGAAAAATACATACCTGAGGACGATGATACAGAAACTCTTTGTCTCTCCTACTTTTAAAATGCCTTGCCCACTAGGGAACATTTGCCCTTGCCTGCTCTTAGGGGTTGCCTTCTTCTCAGTTCTCTGGGCTTTGGTAGCAGGGTGGAAGGGGCAAAGCATTGTATCAAAGGCACCTGGTGGCACTGATGTAGATCTCTCCTGCACAGAAACACGTTTAACTCAGCTGTGTGATGAGACCTCTGGAGATCAGGCGCTGCTAGTGGACTTCTCTCGGGAAGAGCAGAATATATTGCTTGTCAGAACAGGGAGTGCATCTGCATGTGTATCATTGTAAATATGTCACGTTTCTGTGTGTAAAATATTTATGAAGTCACATGCATTTTTTTTTTTAATTATTTGTAAAAACTTTACTGCACTGGAAATTTCAAAAGCGGAAGGTTATTTGCGCTAGTAATGTGACTTCTAGAAAGTAGAGCAATGTTTATAAATTAATTATAATTACTTACACATGTAAATGAAGCCACCTAAATTTAAGCAACCATTTAGACACTAAATTATAATGGCTCTGCACTTGAATTCTTAAATAAGTAGTATGCTCCCAAGCATATTCTTCTGCTTTTTTTCTACAGTATGCAGTGTTTTAATGAGCCTAACTTTCCCTGATTGAAGATACTAAAAATTTGCAATTGCAATTCCATGTTCAGTTATTGTAGCATTTTAATCATATAGCACATCCACTTAATCTTAATGGTTCTAAATCTCTTTTCTCTTGGTAGTGTCATTGTGGCTGTCAGGGTCTAAGGACAAAGGCAAGACAGGATTTCTACTAAGAGGCGATATTTTTTACTAGACTAACTAGTATGGCTGGAAAACATAGACAGGCTTTAGGGTCTACATGCCATTCTTCAAGTTTAAAATACCAGCAGCAAAATTCAAACTGAAGAATGATTGCTTTGAGTATAATGAGGTGAATCCTTTAAAGCACCTTAGTGATAAAAGGAAGCGGATGCTTGTGGAGCATAGTAGGTGTTACCATGTGGGGCAAGAAGGTAGTTTGTGCCTGGCCTCCCTTGGAAGGTGTCTTGTGTACCTCCTGGTGGGATTGGGATGAGATACCAGAGAGGGAGTAATCGTTTTTTAAGGAAAGTTCTCTTTCTCTGGCACCAGCATGTGCCAGTAGTAACACTGGTGAGCCCTGGGGGCGGTGTATCAAACAGCACTGAGCGTTATGCCTCTTAATTTCTAGAACCCATATTTTAGGGA